TTTAAGTGATCTCGATCACGAACTCACCCTACTATGGTCGTGAAACTCCAGTTTGTGGGACTCTAAGGGTGTTGTATGATTCCGGTAGTTATGGTCAACGGTCAATAGGTCCTTGTCCTCTTTGACTATCTTGGCAAAGTTCTATTCTCTCTCTCTCTGTCTCTCTCCATTTGAAATCTCATATATATATACATATATTTATATATGTGGAATGAGAGAAATATGTATTCTTATTATAAGAACAACATTATTTGTTTAGGCATTGTGATGGTTTTGCCATTTCTCCTTTAGGTTCTGGAGGAGTTATTATAAGAACATTTTTATTTTCAGGCGTTGTGATTGTTTGGATTCGTCATCCTTCTGTGCCATTGCAACTTCCCTTTCTTTAATAATATCAAGTGATTTCTACAGCCCTCCCCCTCGCTAACCAGGAAAGGAAAATAGAAAACGGTTCATTCGTCGATTTGGCTCATATGTTGTCAACATGATTTTGCTTCCAAAAAATATCTTGGATTAGAAAGAAAAACAAAAGAATGCAAGATTATGCTGGAACTTATTAAAGCTGAGCTCCTGGCGAATAATAATCTTTAGTTAGGAGAAGTATCAATACATAATGGAATGGTGTAGAACGTAGAAACCAGCCTGCTTTGTCTCAGAAAATGTTTGCCCCTTTAAATAATTATAGGAAATATGTTAGCAAATGTCAATTCTAGGTTGAATTTGGTTAGGGATATGAATTTCTGCTAATAATTGATCATTTCCACCAAATCTTCATTTTATAAAAGCAAAAGTATTAATGTGGATAGAGTCTCGGAAGTGTTATGTTTTTGGTATTAATTATGGAATGCAGTAAATTTGAAGTGGACTTTGAATCTATTAATTTAGTTAGTGGAGATATATTTTAACTTGTTGATTTGGCTTTATTCTTGCATAGTTTGTTAGGTTGTAGAGCCAAAACTTTCACTTTATTGTATCTGTTGCGTTCACCATGAATGGTCCCTGAACTTCAAATAAGATGATGCATGATAGGAATGATCGCGTCATTTTAAAATTAAATTATTTTGTTCCATCACCAAATACTATTTTCAGATAGCATCTTGTGGACTTGTCTTATGTGGCCTCCTTACACTGCAACCAAAATGAAGAAAAATAACTTCCTTTTATAAAGATTTAGGGGAGGAGAAGGGGCGGCGGGGGGGTTGCATTAGCAGACTAATTTCATGTATGCCCTTTTCTCTTTCTAAAGGAGAATTCTTTTTTGAGAATGATTTTGGTACTACACATCATTGTTACAGGTTTTCTGAGGTTTCATATATTACCCACCGCGAAACAAAGTCCAAACATCCTGGCAGATGATGATTCTTCTGCAAAATTTTGAGGTAATTATGTATATATGATCTTTGAGCTGGGAAGATGCTCATAGTGTATCATGAGAACATCAATAATCTTTGTGAAAAGAGTCTCCGACTCGATTTGATAGTAGTTCTTATGCTGCTGAAGATTTGTAGAAAAAAAATGATATTCATCTTTTGAATATACAAATATATTACTTTTCTTTGTGGAATTTTTCGTTAAATACAAAGTGATATTACTTATTAGAGAGATTAAAAAGCTGAGAAGTTTTAGGTTGATCAAATTTTCAGATTATCCACAGTAGAACGAAGTTGGATATTTTTTTTTTTGGGTCAGACACTATTACAGGAAGGGGGTGATAAGGTTTAAACCCTTGATCTAAAGATCCAATAGGCAACATCAGGGGCGGTTGCCATTAGGCCCAACCACTAACCCCAAGTTGGACACTTGAGGACTTATTTTTTCTTCTGCTAAGATCAATGGTGGTATGTCAAGTCTATCTTTAACCTCCCCATTTGGGAGGTGAGCGTGTTTGCCACTCGGACTTGGCCCGTGGTTTGAAGGAATTACTAATGAGGAGATTATTGTTTGCCAGATTGTTTATTCTATTATAATGCAGTAGTAAAATTCGATACAAACTCCATTGGTCCAATTGAACTGTTGCCCATATTATCTTGGACTACTTTGCCTCATTCCGTGATGTTGCCAATTTCAACATTTCTTTGTCATATTAAATATCACCAATTAGCCGTGGTTAAAATTGGTTGAAGTTTTCCAAAAATCAGATGTAAAACAGTTAACGGGACGAAAAAAAGATTGGGGGGGGGGGGGGGGGGGGGAGGGTTGTTGGGCGATGTTACCTGGATATCGGGTTTATTTTGGTAAGTGGAATGGTTATAAGTATGCGGTATTTATACTTTCTCTGGTGAATGGTACACTAGAGATAGGCTTAGCTGACGGATTATTTGCATTGCTTTCACTATTATAAAAATTACGTTAGCTTTATGATGTATATAATATATCCATACTTACATAATTAATTAATATTAATTTATATTTGTTATGTGAGTTTCAAAACAAACTGAGACCCAAATAGACGTACCAAGTAATAACCGTGAATAATTAGATTTAATGGTTAATGTCACTATTTGCTCATCTTATTAATTGATATAACTTAAGGGGAGGCTTTCAACTTTTTTATCCAGCAGATATGGTAGCTGATCGCCTTATAAGTATAACATAAGGGAAGGTTTTTGACTGTGCACTTTCTATGGTTGATAAGTACGAGACACACTTCGTGTTTTGAGTGAAGCCACTGTATGTCTTTACCAACACTTCACAATCCATTCAAATGCAAAATGCTAGTACAGATTCATTCAAAATTGAGAGAGATGAATGACTGTCGATTGAGAGGGAGAGATAATTGTTGACTGAGAGAGCGAGAAGGAGATAGCACTGTTTGTTTGAAGCACCTTCTGTTGGATCAATCGAGGTATGTATAACTTATACTAACAATCTCAACTCCTACAAAATTTTGTATTGTTTATTTCTTTGTTTTTCTTGTTTTCCCCCATTTTGATATGTTCTGTAAGATTTTATCTAGTTTGGGAACAATTGTGGTCAGGGTTTAGATTTGGGGTTAGTGTTGTAATTCAAGGTCGGAACTTCTGGCGCTGGAGGTCGCATACGTCCATTTGGGGTCGTGTGACCTTAGATTGGGGGGTTTATGGTGGTGGGCAAATTTTAGTATCCCACGCTTCCCGCTTCCCATTGCCTCAAATCCCACTCAACTACTTTCTGGTTGACCCCTGGCTAACCGAGTTGACCCCTGGCTAACCGAGTTGACCCCTCACTAACCCGATCCAATATTTTTAATTTTTTTTGTTTCAATTTTTTTTATTTAATTTCAAAGGACAATTTGGATATTGTATAAAAAATACGCAAAATCTGTCCGGTCAATTACCTGTCAAGAGGTTGATTTTTTGTTAATCTTAAGGGCATGTTTGGTTTAGGTATTAAAAGATTGAATTTGATTAATTTAATTCGGTGATAATATTATACAAAGTTTTAATTAAGTTATATCGACTGATATTAATTTCTCATTAATTATGACCCATTTCACTATTGTCATCAACTACTTGATATTAGGTACTAATAAATATCATACGGTAAGTGATATTATTTTTAATAAGTTTAGTATTAAAAACACAATGACTTTATTATTTTTGAAAATATAGATTTACACATTCATATAAAAGTTACATATTATACAAACTCTTGTTCTCAATATTTATTTTATCATTTTTAATATAATACCACACACTATTACCTAATTCAAACATAAATTTGTTATTATAATTATAGATTTATACTTTATCTCAACTTCGATCCAAATTTGTTACACAAAGGATATGATCAAAATGTACTCTTATTAATACTATTTGTATGCCTTAAATGAGAATTAATAATCTAATCTTATTTTTTGTTTATATTCGAATCAAACGTGTCATTTTTATTTTTGTCAGGACGGCAGCGGATTTAGTTTGGAGCTACGCTCGGGGTGCCCCATAGTCCATCCACAGTCTCCGTAGGAAGCTTTCCTTTGGTTCTTCACGAGTAGGAACAACTTCATGAGTAAGAACGTGACAAAAATGAGGGCTTTCGATCCAATATGAACATAACAAAATGAAAGTGTAACGTAATAAGTTAAGGACTTACTGAGTAATTATTTATTGTAGTGATTATCAACGAAACAGTCCTAGCACTTAAAAAATAACATATTTTGTAAATGCTGTAGATGACTATTATGCATGAAAAGAATCAACTATGAACAAATAGTGATGTGTGGTATTAAGGTAGTGTTTGAAATGACTTATTGAATTCAAAAGTACTTTTGAATTATTACTTTTTAAAAAATACTTTATTAAAAAATACTTTCTTCCATAAGCATCGTTTGGATGCTCATTAAAAAAAGTACTTAAATAAAAATGATTTACAAAAATTGTGTTTGGATGATCAATTAAAAAATTATTTATTTGTATAACAATTACAAACATACCCTTCATAATCAAATATATATATGCGTGTGTTTGCATGTATTTTGTTAAAAACGTCAATGACTATCCCATGATACATTTTTAGTGATATTTTATCAAATATTTACATAAATTCACAAAAATGAAAAGGTAACCATGTGATATTAGTGATCTAAAGACATGATGAACCCAAGTGTCACCTTGGAGTTCACTATTATGAATTTTTACGTCACCCGTGTGTAAACTTCTACTATTTGTTTTTTTTTTCAAACAAATCAACTTTTATTTTATTACTCAAAAATTATTTATAATGGAATAAAAGGCAGATAGACTCTGTCTTAACAAGACTTTAACCCAAAATGAATAAAAGAAGCTAAGAGACTTTACAAAAGAATAAAAAAATAAGTCCCTCATAACAGGTAACCTGCTCGACTTGTGTTAACGAGACTGACCAATGAACATGACATTCAAAAACAAATATCACAAGACGTTAACGAGACTGACCAATGAACATGAAACACATATATCGACGAACAAAATAAATTTAAGAAAAATAATAATAACATTAAATTCATTTGCCCTGCTGAATAGAGGGGCAAACATTGGATGTGATTAAGCAGCAGACTCCTTGGCAATCTTCTCCGCCTTGGCAATGATCTCTTCAATGCCACCAACCATGTAAAATGACCGTTTTTGTGATGCAAATTTTGTAAGAACCTTATCAAACTCATAGGCATCAGAATCCCAGTTGTTTCTTCGAAGTTTTAACCTTTTGAGCTGAAATAAAGTCGGGAATTAAAGAAAAACATAAATTACAATACTCTGATAAAGCAACAGCTAATAGGCATATAAAAATTATGTCCTTTTGATATTCCAAATAGACTCTGCTACATAAGAATGTCATGAAGAATACCTCTAGCTGCAACTCTACGCAATCAGCGAAATCAGCATCAGCGATCAACTCTTCTGCATTTTGAGGTCGTAATCTCAACGCAACTGGAACTCTCCCAAGAACTATATGCAAGTATAGGCACATCGAAGAAAGCACATTTTGAGATTCACAATAATAACCTAAATCCAAAACAAAGATAGAAAATAAAATAGTAATTCCTTTTTTTGCCAAAAAATAAGCTGTAGACCATACTTAAAAGCATACTCTAATAAAATGTAGGGGGTCTTTGGATGCTCAATGTTAATATATAATATCCCTCCCTTCCTTAACAATTTTTTTTTGATTATTAGAGAAATAGAAATCAAAATTCTAGCAGCATTTTCATGCATCCAACTTGGACATTCCAATTTCACATTAGTACCCACCAAGGAGTTTACATGTTTGTCTACTCAGTCAAACCAGGAACTTTAAATATTCAGCTAAAACAAGACACAACTAGTAGGTTTTAAAGATCAAAGTCTAGAAAGGAGCACAAATGGTAACACTTGTGATGCTTCTCTTCACCTTCGGAAGACAATCATGACTCACCAAAATTATGCGGCCTTATTCACCATACAGACAAAGTATGTAACATCACCAAAAGAACCCCCTAAGAACAAAAAAGGGTACTACATTGTCATTGTCAAAGCATTAGGGCATCAGGCTCTTGAATAAGAATGGAGGTTGCCCTCAAAACTCCTCCTACTCTGCTTAAGATATTCAAATCCAAAAGTGACAAAACCTATTTGGTAGATAACAAGTCGAAAGAAAAGAGTGAGCAAATATTGACATTTATGCTGAGAAAATCTTTCCCTTACTAGCAATTTCGTAAATGCACAAACCTAAGTACCAAAATGATCTTCATCATAGCAAAGCAAATTTCATAGATTAAGAGCTTTGGAAGAAAGTCTCTGGTTGGAGGAAGTTTGTGAAGTAGGCAGTTGGTCGCCTAAGTTTGAAGATTTGCCACCCATAGAGAAGAAGATTTTACCATCTGCTATTCAGCTATTGATTTGCACTTTTTTAGTGATCGGATTAATATTATACACCCAAGTATAAATGGTCAAATTGTAATTTTTTCAGTTTTAAATCCAAGTATCGATCCCACGAAGATTTTTAACAATTTGGAAATGAAATAAAATAGTAAAGTTGCTAATTCATATAAGAAAGCATGTGATGTGAGCTTAGATTAATAATGAGTCTATGTAAACAGTTATGTGCAGATAGAGTAACAATAATAATAAACAATATCCTTCAGTTCAAGGATCTCATATGCGTTATATTGGTTAAATGCTGAAAATGCTACCTTATAACAATCAACTTCCATTTTACTGGCAAGTCAATTGGTAGGTCTGATGTATATAAACCATAACACAACAACTTCTTAGGTTAGTGGTGGTATACATGACAACTGATTAATCCAAGCAAACCAGAAGAACAAGTCATTCATGAGGAATATTTGAATTATTCATTTGTTTTCATAATAGTAGGTGCATACATAATAAACTATAACAGGGCCACTTCTTAGGTCAACTGGTGGTAGTAGTCATAACACAACAACTTCTTAGGTTAGTTGGTTATTGATATGTCAATTGACTAATCCAAACAAACCAGAAGGACAAACCATTCATGAGAAATACTTGAATTATTCATTGGACTATATCTTGTGATAAATATATACCAGTTAAACATCCTCAGCGTTCCGGTTGAGGACTAGCTATATCGATAGGAATGCCGTGGTTGTTAGACTGATAATATTATCCTTTATACCAGTTAAACGATCTAAGTAATCTAGAAGGATGAGCCATTCATGAGGATCATTTAGGTCATTCATCTGATAGTTATATATATATAAGTTAAACCCTAATAACCCAGAAGGATCATTTAGGTGTTGTACCATGCATCAGTTAACATTCTCAGTGTTCTGGTGGAGGACTAGCCGTGGTTGTTTTGCTGGTAGGTTGATGATGCACTGATGACATACTTCCAGGCACAGCACCGAAAGTACGTACATCACTGTATCATGCATGAAGCATATAATACATAGATATATAAATATATAAAATATCAACATTTTTAAAATTTAATCAGTATTATACATATGTTTACCTCTCACTAGAGGATATACGGAACTACTCACGTTCCATTGCTATAGACAAACAAGGAGTGCAAACAGTTTTCATTACAACTGAAATTAAAAGACAAAATTTAAAATGTCTTTCACAAGGAACAATTGAAACTGTAAACCCCCACATGTTTATAGTAATATAATGATAACATTGTTTAGTAATTTAATATATGTGATGACTTAGGAATGAAATTGTATATGAAATTGTAAACATATGAAATTGTTTGTAATAAGACTTGTACCAACTATGTTTGATGTCCAAAAGTATGTTGTATAAGTTTGGGTTGGTTTTGGAGGGGTTGGAAATGGATTGAAAATGAAAAATAGAGGAAACAACAAAAATCGAAAAAATCGTACCGGTATAGCTGAAAGTTACCGTATTGGTACAACGTACTGGTACCCCGAAGTACAACGAGCATACCGTACCGGTACACTTGGTAAAACCCAAAATTTTAAGTCGCGATCTGTGGTCCGTTTTTCGCCCTATAAATACTTAAAGACACCTCCTTTAGCCCCACTTCAACATTTCTAACCCTAGGAAACCTTAGAGAGGAAGAAAGGAGGGAAAACACAAGAGATTCAAGTGTTGATTCAAGTGGGAAAGATCAAATCTTCGACCTTTCTTTCCATATTACAAAAACATGGTAGGGGTTCCTTCCATTCTTGACCATTGAGGCTGGGGCTTATATGTATAAATGTTTTGATTCTAAAACTTATATATATGCATTGAAAACCTTGATTCTTGATATTATTTCAAAAATTACCATGTTTTAAACACAGTGAGAGTTAGATAACCACGAAATCTCTTTTCTTGGTATAAAACCCTATTTTTCAAAAGAAATGGATTTTCCTCTTGATTCTTCCTTTGTTCTTGATTTAAAAACTCTAGTGCTTTATATTGAACAATAGAATAGTATTTTTGAGGATCTCTTGCTTATTTTCTTCAATTGTTTTATTGTAATACTACATGAAATTTTTGGGGATTTTGGAATTGGATTATTATGTGAGACATTTGTTTGGGATTGTATCTCTTGAGGATGTAGGGATGACCAGGGGTGGCCATTGACCTGGTATTATAGAGTGGGTAGATGCGTTTTTTACTCCATGTGGGTTTGAATTTTTTCTACCACTCGTAGTGGGGTTGGTGCCTTGTGAGGACCAAGCCACTATTTGCTCACGGGTACCGTGGCTGAAGGTTAGTATACTACTCTTGGGTTGGATTTGTTACTGCCATTGTGTTGGTATACGCTCTTCCTAAAAGTTGGAGATTCTTGCGAGGATTGGGTGTGTGAGTGTGGGCCAGGATATTCTCAATTTGTCGATTCATGCGATATCATACATCATGCCTAAGATACAAGTACAAATTCATAGATACAAGCTGTGGTTGATTTACATTATGGGTAATGTTACAAACGGTGGATTGTGGTTCGATGTTAAAATGATTTACTTCTTGGAAATTGGTTTATCTCTTCATTAAATTATTGTTATTGCGTAAACTGGAGATCTATTGAAATGTCCCTGTTTTATTTCAAATGTTATATATGATATTTGCGAAGTGAGACCGGCTGTTTCTATATGTTTTCTAAACCTTGTTCAAGTTTGGAGGGATGTTGCTATAGAGCTTTGTGCTCACCCCCTACAATATTATTCATTCTCAGATGTCGGTTTAGATAAAGAGCTCGAAGTTGACGAGCAGGTGGCTTGGGAAGCACAATTGGAGGAAAGCGTGGATCCTGAGGGGGATGTCTAGAGTTGATCTCTCCATGTTTTAGATTAGGGGATATATTTTGGTACACTAATAGATGTACTTTGTTTGTTTCGTTACAAGATTAAGCTTGATTCTTTTGATATGTAATTGTCATAGGTTGATATATTATTTTGGGATGTAGATGCCATAGTTTGGCATATTTTTTTGGATAACGTTGTAGATATTATTAGCTGCTCTCATGTTGTGAATGATTTTTAGATTGTAATGCCGTCCAATGTGGGTTTTGGGGCGTTACAAAAACACAATCAACTTTATTATCAGTTAAGACAAAAAGGTGACGACAGTTCAACTATTCGATTAGAAATATACAACATAAATGTAAAAGTACAAAATTTAGACTGAAGTGGATCACAGACTGGAACGCTTTTGCAACTTCTCTTTTTCTCTCTCTGGTTCCGGCCTGTTGAAGAATGAAGCAAGGCATGGCTATTTATAGCCATTTGAAGAAACAGGAGGTGGAAGGCTGGAGATAGGATCAAGGGGGACCATCCGGACGGTGATGCTTTGCTTGAAATTCCCACTTGCGTTGTATGCTGACTCTTCTTGTTGGGAAATTACACTTTGGCCTTTATTCTTTTATGCATTGCTCCTTGTATTCTCCGGTATTTCAGCATTTAACCTGCAACTTGTAAACATAACACACATAAAACCCTAATTACCGCACAAACCCTAATTAACTCTAATTAATAGTTTTTAGTTATTTTATCACACCAATTTGACTCATTAACTATTCTAATTTATATACTAATTAGGGTTAATCACACTCCCCAACTTAAACTTTACTAGTCCCTAGTAAATTTTAAACAAACTTTTAACACAATATAATACAAACAGAGGTAAAATCATTTTCATAGATTTTTCATGATTACATTTAGCATATGCAATAAGCCTTTAAACCCCTAGGTGATTTCTAGTGGACGAGTTTTGTCTCGTGAAGGTTTCTAGTGAAGCTACCTACAAACTTCAGTAATTAAGAATTCGTGATTCATTTTTTTCACAAATAAAATTAATTTAATATTCTATCTATTTTGTCAAGATACTTCCTTCTCTGATCATTATAAGAGTAACACACGTTAGTTGTAATATTATCTACATATTTTTATAAAAACTTGTGTGTGTGATAATCTCTTTATTTTCAAAAATCACTTGAGAAATATTACTCTCTTTCCTGGTAGTTTTGATGTCAATCCTTCCCTGAAACACACTCAGCAAAAAAACCACTTGTTATAGTGACTGTTCTCACA